CTTTCTGCCACAGCACCTCCGGAAGCAGAAACTGCAGGTCTTGACAAAGAGGAGTACGAGGATCAGAACAATGGCAAGGAGGAAGGCCAGGACGTCCAGGCTGTGATACTGGTACCAGGTGAGCTCATGGGCCTGGACCCTCAGGTGCTCGGCCCCTTTGTTTCTCATGGTGAACTCGATCCAGAATACCGCCTCATCACGCGGACTCATTGGTCTGTCGTGGTGGATACTGGACAGCCACAAGGCATTCTTCTTGTACCTATCAATGCAGACACACAGGTGGAAATGTGGATTAAGGCACTACATGTCTTCCATGTATTTTTCATTTTTATACTTGTGTTTTTTTGCCTTACCAAGAATGGGTATAAAAAGGGTTGATTTATTTTTAGTTCCATGTATTTTAAAACTTAAAAATCGAACAGGAAAGCCATTAAACACGGGGAAAAGCCCATCCAGCAGTCTTGTAATTTCTTTGTGACTTTGAAACACTGTGGTAATTGAACTCTGTCTTACTACATTACACCATAGCTCCTTTATGGCATGTCTTTAATGACTTACAGTTCATTAACGTAAGCTCTCCAAAAAGGCAGTCATTTTTCTTTGCCTTTTTAAAACCCTAAAAGTGAAAATCAATAAAAGAACTTACGATTTCTCATTGATGACAGTATTGACTGCATCTCTAAGGTCCTCAGTCTTCATGAAGTTAAAGTCTACAGTAACTGCAGCTCCCTTTGCCTCAACATGGACCATGTTGTCTGGCTGGTCAGCGAACATGGGGATGCCCACCATGGGAACACCGTGGTAGATGGCCTCATAAATCCCATTTGTGCCTCCATGGGTGATGAAAGCTCTGGTCTTGGGGTGACCTGATATGGGTATTAAAAATCATGAAACATACATTCATCTCTTCAGTTAGGACTGGCTGTTAAAGCACATCTTTTGACTTCTGTATGATATGACTTCTATAAACATATATTGAACATTACATTACAGTCCTTTAGCAGACACTTTTAAGGAAAATGTCCACAGTATGAAAAACTAATTGTGGATGATTATGAAACAGCTGGGCATGCAGCTTAGTTAAGTTGACAGTGACATTTGAGTAACGTCTAATGCCACAAGTATTGTAACATTTTCCCGTTGGTTTAAAACGGTTTTGGTAAGTTTTTTTGTTTTTTTTCTTTTTGTATATTAACTTCAAAAACAGTAAACTACAAAGATAAATATATGATGTATATTATTAGTATGTTGAAGGAATGGGGACACTGCTTTATTGTGTGGACCTGTTTGCATAATTATCTTTTCACTGGCTAAATACCAGCTTGTAATTATGCATACTGTGAATGTGTTATGGTTGTCTCTCTGAAGTGACATGCCAAAGAACAAACTTCAACAAAAACATTCTTACTGTGCTTTCTAACAGCTTTACTTACCCAGTAGGTCATTCTGAGGGATCCAGTCGAATAGTCTAGTGTTGGCACCCAGAGTTGCTGGATTTTCTCCACTGTATCTCCACAGCACCTAGAAACAAAAATGTAAACACTCAAAATAACACCGTGCTAATTATATTTCAAAATATACTGCAAAGCAGTACATTTACTAATACATGCTAAATAAAGGGGGAAAGTAGTTGTATTTTAAAGCAAAACTTTAGTTATTTTCTGGGTAATTGTCTTTGGTGATTCACTTGTGGTGTTGGGTAATCTATCCAACGTGATTAGGTTCCATTGTTTGTTTTTGAAAATCTAATCTCTTCTCCCAGCCTTACCCCCCCGTCACTATAACTTGCAATTTACTTCAAATCAGGTGTTGCTGCTAACCTCCTACCTTATTATTTTTTAATCGTCACATACTGTATATAGTACAGACTGTCACAGCTCTGTCCCTTCTCTCCTGTCACACTATCTCCACTCACCTAATCAGCTCATTTAGTGCACCTGTTAGTCACACCCACCTCATCAGCTCAATCACTCTCACCTGCTCACTCTGCTGCACCTACTATTTAGACCCCAGTCTCACACACACTCACTGCCCCGGTAAACGACTCAGCCTTCTGTCCCTGACCACGAGATTCTTCCTCTGCTTCATCTGGTTTCTGTCTGCCTTCACCCCTGACGGCTTGGCGTTCCACCGAGTGGATTTCTGCATGTGTGCAGATCCAAGACTGTTTGTCTGTTGTGTGTTCAGCCTGGAATAATGTTTCGTTCCAGCTATTCCGTGTGTCCGTCGTACTGCTTCTGGGTCCTTACCACACCCGTCACAAAGACACATAAAATTTGACCTCTGCATTTCACCCATCCTAAGTATTTTAGTAGCAGTGGCTTGCTGTAAAGTCCCGGTGACTTTTTTGCTGCCCTTGCTTGTCATTAGTGACACCTCACAAAGAAGACAACATTGAACTCTCTGACATAACAGGTCAAAAACTCTGTTGTCCCCGTCTACACGTCAACATTGAAAACTGAGTTTCTGAAAATCTTCACCCTGGCCGGAGTTTAACAAAAGCTCTGTTTCAGTGACTGTAAACCCAGTTTGGGTGTAGACGAAATGTCAAAACCTATGTACAGGTGGACTAGGCCTTAAAGCAAGTAAAAGTGAGTTATGAGTAAGGAAAGCCCTCGGCTTAATCTGACTCACTCACCCCTGCGGCCTCCAAAGCTGTATCGTGTTCTCTTCAGAATCAGAACCGTTTATTGCCAAGGAAGTTTGCACCTACAAGGAATTTGTCGTGGCGGGTGGTGCGTAACATTTAACAATAAAATTAAACTATCAACAATCAACACAGTGCAAGAAATGGAAACATATTAAAATTTACAATAAAATATCAAATAAAGTGCACAACAAAACGGATAACAGGACTGTAAAACAAGTGAAGTGTAAGTGAAATGTTAAAAGTGATGAGTGTGTTCAAATAAAGAAACAGGGATGTGCAGGGGAGAGACCAGAAGGAAATGTCCTGGGAATGACAGAGTCAGTGAGGGACCCGGGCTTTGTTAATGAGCCCGACTGCGGACGGGAAGAAGCTGTTTGTGTGGCGTGAGGTCTTGGTTCTGATGGACCGCAGCCTCCTGCCAGATGGAAGGGGCACAAACAGATCATGTCCAGGGTGAGAGGGGTCGGCTACAATCTTTCTTGCTTGCTTCAGGGTCCTTGAAGCGAACAGGTCCTAGAGGGACGGCAGATTGCAGCCAATCACCCTCTCAGCAGAGCGAATGATGCGCTGCAGTCTTCCCTTGTCCTTGGCAGTGGCTGCAGCGTACCAGACCTTTATACATCCATGGTCTAGTTAGGGGTAATTCAAGTTCATTTTAGTTTTATTAATATGGTGATGGCGGGGCATGCACATCATTAAGAGCTAGGCTGGCCCAGCTTGGAGCGAGGACTGTTCTACTACTCAGCCTGCTCCTGACTGACCCAGTACGGATGCAGGAACGTGGAGTGGATGACATAGGACTGCTTGGAGACTGTGGGGCCCACATCTGTGCAGAGACCTTGCTCCGTCGTGGCATTTCAGATTGGACTGTTGTACTTGCCAGGCGGACTGACATTGCACAAGACTTTGGTTGGACGTGGGGGAGGTGGACACTATGTTTGCATCGGTGATGGTTTGTGCTCAAATATAGTCAAAGTAGATGAACAATGTTTCCCTCAAGTCAAATTTTTTTAATGTCAGATGGCCCAAATAAAACACTGTTTTGTTGCTGCTGTGTACATTCCCCCTGATACAAATTCAAAAGATCCACTACAGGAATGCACTACTGTTTTTGCTTTTGATTTTTTTATGTATAATGAAGAGACTATAACTGCATTTCGTTATGCAACCCTGTGTTGTACAATGACAATAAATTAATCTTGAAAAAATAGAGATTGTCCTCTGACCTTTTGTGGGACCTGAGCGAGGGCTGAGGCGATCATGTTTCCTTTCTCTGTAGTGATGTTCTTGATGAATGATCCCAAAGTGAAGACCACAATGCCAGCATCTCCAGAACTCTGCACAAACTCCTCCATATCCTGCAAAAATAACATTATCCCACAATGCAAACCAACCAGCATTGTCATTTCTTTCTGAAGGCATTTTAAGGACTCATTCTCTTGATTGTTTAAGTCAGGAATACTGTGGAGGCTGTGTAATGACCTAGTAATAGGACTGTGATAGTAGAGTGAGCCCTACCTCTGGTAACGGTTTAGCAGGTCTGCAGTGAATCCCACCAACAAATTTGAAGTTAGGGAGGAAAGGGCGAGGGAAATCAAAATCCCAGTATGTTCTTATCAACCAGATATCTGCCCGACCCATCAGCTCACAGGCACTGGTGTGTGTTCCTGTCATAAAACAAAAGTAACTGAACCAGTGCAATGAATCCAAAGCTATTAAATCATCATTGGACTTTATGTGGTCCATAGAAAAAAAAAAGATTGTTACACAGTGTATTGTATTTGAGTAATTCACCTTTTACTTTGGAGTAATATTTATCCAGTACTTTCCAAAAAACGTTTTCGAGCACAATGTCCTGCAGTGCGTAGAAGAGGAAGTTCCACACTCTCTCAGGGAAGTCCATCTTGTCCGTTAGTTTGCTCATCGCCCCGGGGACAAAGGAAGGAGGAGCAGGGAGCTGACCACAGTGTCTCTCCCAGTTGTTGGCTAGGGAAAACCGCAAGGAGAAGACCAGAGGGATGCCCAAAATCTCTGCTATTAAGTCACTGCCGGGATACATGGGGTCAGCCAGGAGAAGGTCATATTTTCCCTCCTTCAGCTTCTTCATGATGGATTCAGATTTCACCAGGCCGTCCAAAAACTTTAAAGAATTCTTCAATCTGACCTTCATTATATCCATGAATCTGATGTAAATCTGTATGTAGCTCATATGATCCATCTCATTCATTGTGAAGTGAAGGAAGTCTTTCATGAAGTCCTCAACGGACTCCTTTGAAATAGAGACATTGAAGGGTTCGTAGCCAAAGCGAGAAGGCTCACTGGTGTTCATGAACATCGACGAGCTCGGGACCAGAACCGTCACCTGGTGTCCCCTGTCGATCAGCGTCTCCAGCAGAGGCTTCATGTTAATCCAGTGGCTGCCTTCAGTGTACCACACCAAGATGTTCCCTCCGTTTGCGCTCCATGTCACACAAAGTACCAGCAGGACACACACAGAGAGACGCTGCTCCAGCTTCATCGTGCTTGTTTGTCTGACTGAAGGCTTGCCGTGCTCTGAACCTTTTTTAAAGGTGCTCCTGGAAAAATAATCATTGACCAAACAAAGCTGAACTCTGACTCGTAGCTATTCTTTGTCCTACATG